GAATCAATGAATAATAGTGAAAAATCAAATAATAGTAATAGTAATAATAATAATAATAATAATAATAATAATAATAATAATAATAATAGTCGAGATCGATAAGGTAGTAGAGCCGCAGCGGTCTCGGACCAGAAGATCGCGGGTTCGAGTTCCGCCTCGGGCAGTTTGTGTTTGTCTATACCTGTGTCTCGTCCTCTCACCCCTCACTATCATCATCTTCCATACTCCCTGGATACCCCCACGGATTCGCCGAGAATTCAGAGGAAATCACGTGACACGTGAATCACGTGAAATGACACCGTCGGGAAACTACTGCTTAATTCGATTGTCTTCTACTCACCCTTCGTGGGAGTAAGACTTTCTTTCGTAGTCGCGTGCAGATTCAGATAATCGAGACGAGGCGTCATCTCTCTGGCATTCCTATTTGGTGGAGCGCACGGATCTCCCGTGGGGATTACGATAATCAGAAATAATTCAAATAAGCAGAAACCCATCCTGAAATGTTGCGTCTCATATTCAAAAATTTCTGAATACGGAATTTCAAGGACTTCATTCCGGCGCAATTATTTCTCTTAACGCTCATGTATTATCTATATTCAACTGGAACAATTGTACGCTAGGGAAATCTGGTGAATATTTGTTGTTTAAGGAGGATAGGACATAATGGCAAGTAATTGAAAAAGACTCAATGGATTGGCTAATTGCTTACGAGAAAACTTTCAGAATCAAATAAGGCAAGCAGTTATCTTTAAAATAATAATGGTCTCTAATGAATGGCAGGTCAAATCACGCGATATCTTTTATTTCCGAACCTCCGATTCGACGTAAAAAATTCGAGGCAACAGCTCTCATCAAAACTGAAATGGGCAAGTAAAAACTGAGTACAGGCGTGAAGAAAGAAAAGCTCATATTTTTTTAACACGAGACATTTTAAACATGAGATTTCGTGACCAGTGTTGTTGACTCTCCTTAACTTCATAAAAAGCAGCGAAAATTGTTATTTTTTTCCGTATCGTGATTTGAAAAATTGTTTGCTATCAGAGTGATATTGCTAAATGGCACGCAACCAGTGATGAAGAAAGTAACCCGCGAAATGAGCTGTTTCCTGAAATTGTATCTTTCTACCTGAAGAAAGTATTATACTCACCCACAGAGGTCAAAGAAAGTAACAAGTTACTGAGAAAATCACTTAGGAGCGTGTGAATGTCGTGACAACTTTAAGCATCAAAGAAACACAGAGGTAACAGTATCTTCCAATTGCACGACTTACGAGTATAATTTTTTTGCGCCATCAACATCCTCGTCCACTGACATAAAATGACTCGTAAAACACTACATACATACACACATACACACACACACGCGCGCGCGTATATACTTGTATTTCCATATACTAGTATTTATGTGTGTGTATGCATCTCTCCTCTGTCAGTTAAATTATTTGAGGCGAAATATTTTTTCTAGGAGGGAATTCATTTCTAGGACATTGTATTTCCTACTTTCACAATAGCCGAGGTTCAAAATTCACTATAATGGAATCTTCTTGTGCTTATTTGTAATATTAGCAAAACGGGACCAATGACTTACGTTCACTATAACCGAGAGTTCACTATAGCCAAGTTCACTATAACAGGAGGCGACCGTGCTTTGAAATGGAGTGAGCGTGTTTGTAGTAAATCACTGCTAATGTTGCCTATCTTTACAAGTATATTACAAGTCGTAAGTCTAAAAGATTGTTGACTTCTATAACCCGTCTGCAACGTTTCTTATGGTAGTTGATACATTACAAAGCCGTCGAGAGAGCCGTCGCGTCCTCCGACGCTCCTCTGCAGGCGCAGGACAGGACAGGACACGACGCAATTTGGATGCCACGGAACTGAAGGGACAAGAAAAAGGTCATAAAATAGAGTGATATATTGAGACTTCAGCTAACCGACGCGGTTTGCATTTATGCAGCGAAGAAGAAGGAGAATTGAAACATTCCATCCACGAATTCCCGTTACGGAGGTTTCGGGTGTTCCCGATTTTCAATTTATTTGCATCACAAATCTTTTCCAACTTCTTCCCTCAAGTTACATTAAGTGTTGGGCTCTCATGATACTGTGAAATCTGTCCTCCGTTACTCCTCGAAGATAGCAGCGGTGTCACAACAGCATATACTTTCTCGTGTTGTTTCTAGTTTTTGAAATATTTTTGGGAAATGTAGGACATTCAACGAAAATTGGACCTACCTGTGTCTCATCCTCCTTTACTCCTTATCTTAGAATATATTCCTCCAATATTGGAGTTATAAGGCGTCGCTGAAAAAGTTTTCATATTTTGCAATTTTCGTTAATTTAGAGATTTCAATGAAAAATGATATCTGCTCCACTTTAAGCGTTCTTAACATCAAGTGTAATAAAAAAAATTGAATCAATATTTAGAAAATTTTGAGGCTTTATATTAAGTACTTCAAAATCAAATAATCCATTTCAAACTCGCACGGCTGAATATTCATTCAGATCGATTAGTAAATATCAATTTTGGCGAAAATTCGTCTAAACGATTTAGGCGCTAGCGTTGAAAACGGACGGACGCGGACAGACGGACATGCGGACAGACGGATAAACAGGCAGACTTTCACCATCAATCGATTTTACGGTACCAAGGTCCGAAAACGTGTATTCTGTCTGCACGTGTTAGAGAAAGTCATTTACTACATGAAGGAACAAGATTTATTTACTTTTTCGATAGTGAGGTCTCACAAAACGAGTTTTTCTGTCGAAAAATCGCAGATTTGTATCGCAGCATTGCAATATTTTTCCCTTTTCTACGTACATAGTAAGGATAGAATGTAAAAACAAACATTTTGAACCCAAATACTCATAAATTTCTGAATTAATTACGCATTTTGAATAAACCGGGACGTGTTGACGACAACGCTCCTTCTTCTACTTCTTCTTCTAGCCTTTATATTTAAAACACTAAGGGTTTTCGTTTAGAAAGAACCTTGAGCTTTGCACTCAACCAAATTTGGTATTTTTTCTTTAAATGCACGGGAGGGGCCCGAGATGTGTTATCATTTACCCTTATTAATTGACAGAATTTATTGAATAAACTCTAAATTTTAGAATCATCTTAACATTAATAAAATAACGCTTATCGGCCGTCATTAGCTCATTATTGCTACTCATCGGTTTAATTTAAACAGGCAATTTCGTACTGTCGTATTTAAGCATTTAAGTGTCCCATTGGTTTAATAAAATCGAGAAAAGTTGACATATCACAATAAATCTTGAAATTACTACAGGCACTTTTATGCAGAGTCGAAAGTAAATTAATGGTAATATACGTTCAAGCATTTTTTCACTTCCTTATCTTGCAATGCACAGCTGATGAAGATTACATACAACCTTGACTAATGAAGATTTTCAGGTATCGAAACATAATTTTAAAATAGGTTACGTAGCAATACACAGAAATCCTCCATAGTAGATAAAACTAGTCTATCTTCTGAGATAGACAAGTTGAATACACCTCCTTAAAATGATGAAAGACACAATAAAAATAACCTTAATGGTGATTAGCAAATGGTTAAGGTTTTGTAGTCTTTGCGCTTCCAGCAATTTTGCAGCAGCAAGCAGTTATCATAAACGGCCGAGAAAACAATTTGCTCAGCAGAATAAAACAAAATAAACAATAATTAAAATTAATGTTCAGATCCCAGACATCACTGCTGCACCGATTCCTATAATTTCCTTTTGAATAATTACGTCATTATTAAATACGAAAATGTTTTCAGAGAAATAACGTCAACAGAAATACAACTTCGAGCGTTTGAAAACACAACAGAGCCAAAAGAGCAAAAGAATGATAGTCGTAACTCAAATAGACTAGTCAAATCGAGCATGTCAGTAGTACCTTATCTAGTGTACATAACACCAACCTAAACTAACGTAGACAACAATATGCTCGACAGTACATAACTTTCTTGAAATTAACATTGTTACTCTCCGACACCGCTTCATAATGAATGAAGTAATGTGATGAATATTCCTTGAATGATGAATTTATCTCGTTTTAACATACGGTTATGACTCATTCCTTCTCGATATCTTTCTCACTGTCTATCTTCGACAGTTTCATCTAATTTTCTTTTATTTAATGAGGTGAGTTCGTTCAAAAATATGAACGGAAATCCACGCATATGGCATTGCCTTACAGTAAAGGCCTTCCTAGTATTACACAAGTACACACTCATTTCCGGTACTCCGGATGAAAGAAAATTACTTCACAAAATATTCATTTCTTCCTGAAAGTAAAATCAAGACAGCCCACTATGGTCTACTAAATATAGAAATTAATCCTTTTTATAATATTAATTTTTGACGAAACTGGTAACTGTAACATGAACAGATTTAAATACAGCATGGAAGTGTTGTTATTTGTTGGATTGCCCGCTACCTGACACATTTCGACGAATATCAAACCCAAAAATAAATATTTGCTGAAAATGTATTGACATGTGCCAGAGAACACGGTCCCGGCTCTTTGTTGCATGTCAACTGAATAAAAAAGAGTAATAAATTAATTCTTGTAATAATAATAACAAGAATTCCACTGGCCTGTGTCACGATTACAGCTTCAAATCAAAATCTTCAAACAATTTAACATTATCATGAACATTGTACAGACGAATCCAACAATCGACATATTTGTTCTCATATTTTACAAACACTAGTTCTGAGTATCTTAGCGTTAGTTTGCTACATCATTGATTGCATTTAATGTAACTTCTGCGTTTCACAATGCTGTGGAATAAATCCACGAACATAATTAGCCTGTTTTCGTAGAATTTGATGAATTTCGCGAAGAGTAAGTACACAAATTGATGAGTATCACTATTGTTGAAAGATCTTCCGCAAAAATTGATAGCGGCAGTGACAGAGCATGCCAGCCACCCAGCCTCCGATCACATGCCGCGCAGTATTGATCGCCAAATAACCCCACAGTCTACTCACCCCGCTGCCTTCTCCTCCTCCACCGTCTCTCTGTTGGTCTGGGTCGATGCACACCGCCCGCCACGCGCACTCCCCAGCGACGGCGCGGGCCACGCGTGTCAGCCTCCACACGGCCACGGCGGCGCACGGCGACCACCCGGCTCATGCGACGCCCGCCTCCGACTGGCGACTGCTGCGCGCGCCCGCCGCCAGGACGCCCCTCCGCGCCCCCTCGCGAGCGCGCGACGCGCGGCGCCCGCCTCCGGCCGCCGCCGCCAGAATGCGCCCCCGCACAACACACGAGTACCCCACGCGGCCGCCAGGGCGAGCCCATTACGAGCACGAGTTATATATTATATAGAAATGAAGGGGAAACTCGTGTGGCATCAATAACATAGAGGATAGATACAGAGATAGCTCTACTCTATGACCAATAAGGGCCAGGCATAGAGTAGAGGGGCCAGTAGTTAAATCGACAACGCTGCACTCTGTGGCCAGAATGTGTACTTCAGCGTGGAAGCAGCAGGCTCAGGAGCAGTGTTTCCATATCGGCGGAATTCCCGCCGTTTTCAGCGGATTTTGAACTCGTACGGTGGAAAAAAATAGTTTCGCGGACAGCGGAAATTAATAAAGACGGTGGAAAATAAGCGGAATTTCAAATCTTCACTATTAAGGCCTGGACACATATAGTATGTTCGAGCAGAAACATTTTAAAATAATAATAAATGACAGACAATTCAGTCCACATACGTTCCTCCTTTATTATTATTTTAAAATATTGGTACTCGAATACGCCAATGACGGCTATGACCAAGAATAAGCAATTGTCCTTATCTGTTTTATGCATTTATAAGCATTTGTCCTTTTCCATCATTATCCTTTTCTTACCGGCACTCCATTCGGGATAAAAAGAAAGACAGTTGTAGACAGTTGCTTATTCGTAGTTGTCGTGAGTACGTGTGCTGGCCCTTATGGCGTATTTGATTAGCATTCAGAGAATATATTAATAAAGGACAGACAATTCAGTTCACATAAATGTATCCTTTATTAATATTTTTTCTGAATGCTAACCGAATAGGGCATTACTTTTGTTACATTTTTTACGTTTAGAAGCATACAAGAAGTTTTAACATCAGGAGGGACATTACGTTTCTTTATGTGATTTTGCTTTTAATTTTTACATTAATTCAGTTGAAAATCAATTTACATTCAATAAAAATTATTTTTTCAGAATTTCTATTTCAAATTAAAAAACGAAACAAAATTAAAATTAATTTAAAATTTTTATTTTTGCGTTTTCAAATAATCTTTCTGAAAACGCCATTCAAATTGAAAATGAAGAATCAGTATAATGTCATTAAAATAGCAGTAAAAACATATTAGTAAAATTCAGGCAGGGGGGGGGCGGTGATGTAGCGATGTTAATTAAAAATTATTAAATATATTATTAAAAATACAAATACAAAGTATCGAATTTTACAGAGACTTTCTCCGAAATGGTAAGTGGACACATGCGACTAAGATTTTAAAGCCCTTTATGTACCAAACTTAGGACACTTAGGCTCGACAGAAGAAAACATGCGCGTGACACTTCAACAACAAACACAACATTTCTATACATTTAAAGAATTTAAACGTTAACCCTCAACTACATTTCTTGTAACTTCATTGTTAAGAATTCCTTTGAAGGAAACTGTCAGGAATTTCGTTACCATTTCGTAAGCTAAAACTGTCACGCGTCGGTCAACGCAGTTCGTGTTATTGATACAAATAAACCGTTAATTAATAAATCCAAAAGAGAGGGACAAAAGTTTCAACCAACCTTCCGTAAACAATGGCTAACAGAACATACTTTAACGGACTGGAGATTGCAAATAATCCTCAAAAAGCTCGATGCAGGTAATTATTTTAACGGACATGGATTTGTTTACGTATATACACATACAAAAGTGTTTTGTTGATTCAACAAAATAATTTTATTTTTAAGCGTGAAAACTGTTTTGTTAAATCATAAAAATATACCATCATAAATGCTTTGTTGATTTCACAAAGCTTGTCAAAAAAATCATAAAAGCCAAAGGTTACTCAACGTTACCGTTTTGTCGAACCAATGTTAACATTAGATTAATTCCATAAAACATTTTTTAACCTTAGTTTGTTAGTTTAACAAAATATATACAGAATTTTACAAAACTAATTTTTTAAAAAATTGTTTATCAATTTAACAAATCGTTTTTCTACGTGTAAATAGTTGATTTTACTTGCGGTGTCTCATGCTGTGTCTGATACGTTGCCACGCCACTTGGAATATTTAATACCAGACATTGGTTCTCGAAATCAGCTTTAAGACAGTCAGCATATCGGTAATTGTATAAGCTGATTAACGATGGAGAAGAACCGCGACAAATTCCACAAATATCTGGCACAAGGTGGCAATAGAACGAGCCGTTAAGCAAGCATCAATGGATAGTTAAAAACTCATTTTGGTATGGCACGAAGCACAGATAAATGTTTCGCTGCTGAAACTTTGTATGGCCTGTACCAAAATGAGTTGAACCTTGCTTATCTGCTGGCAATAAATCCGATTTGATCAGAGGTCCAGAGAGTGAACAAGATCTTTGAATCTCATACACTACATACATACATTACCTACATGTAATGTAAATCCCTTGCAGTGTGATATAGACAACCACGTAGACAAAAAAGCTTACCTGAATTTTGCTGTGAAGCAAAAGTTACAGGAACTCAAAAAAACAAGGGAAACTTTCAATCGAGGATGAGACATGTTTTTCGTGATCGTTGCATTCAGTTTTCATTAGCGTTTTTCAAGCAGTTGAAGCAAAGCTTACATGATAATATTGAAACGTTAGAAACTATATCTACGTTATCAATCAAAAACTGTTTTAAAGCAATAAAACCTAAACTCACTCCGCTTTTCAATTTTCGCAGTATGTCCAACGATTTCATTTCAATATGATTGCATTCATCTGACCAGATGAAATGAAAACGAAAGCACTGTCTCATTTCGGAATGAGGTGAATAATTATGTCGACGCTGCAGGAGCAAAACCTTTCAAAGAATCATCGGATTTTGCTCTTCCCTTTTTGGTGTTACCACATTTTAATGCCGAAATAGAGAGGGTCTTCAGCCAAGTGAATATAGTTAAAAATAAGCATAGACACGAAATGAACACTGAATTTAATACGCGATTTTGTCAGTACGTTTTGGTCTAAAAAGAGCGGGAAAGTGTCATAATTACTCGTTCCCATCTAATGTTTTAAAGCAGATAACTCAAAAAGAAAAGTATGAATCCAAGAAAACTAGTGATAATGCGAACGATGATGAGTTATCAGTTTTCGTTAACCTTTATTAATAAGTTGCTTTGCACAGACGTATATTTTTAAAGAGCAGCCTTCTTTCTCAGATACACTGAATCAGTTGTATAAACAGAGGAATCCGCGAAACATATGCGTTGTTCTGTGAAGTTAGTATCCAGAGATAAACTTACAATAATATCAATATTAATGATATTTGCATTTTCTTATTATGAAAATCTATAATAGCAGAAGTGCAAGTTTAGGCTATTACAACCAGCATTCTTGAGAAATTACAAATTGACTATTTGCTGTAAAAAAAGTTATATTGAAAAAACGTAGTTTTCAAAAATTCCTTCTCGTGATATGTCAAGTTTATTCAAAAAGTGAGAATCGTTCATACTTATTTATGCCGCAAGTATGTTAGACAGTGCGAATGATTAATAACGAGCAGTGCTGATTTTGGTCACCATCACTTGATACGAGCAATAAAGATTTAGATTTATTTAGTAAAAACAAACAAACAGTAAACTGTATGTGACGTATGGGGGAGAAGATTATCTGCGCCCATTTTCTAGAGTTCCAGAATCAGTTCGTCATTGTAACTATAAATAGTTGAAAGATGAGTAAACGTTTAACATAAATAAAAATAAATTTTAAAAATAGCATGACTAGCAGTTTTTGAAAAAATAGACATTTTTGTTTCCGAGTTACAGAAAACTTATTTGCATCGGTAAACGAATTGCAAGTATAATTTTTCTGCATTGCTAACAAAATAGTAACTCTCCCTTACATCTACTCTTACCATGACAAGCAAAAGGAGAGTTCAACAAAACGTGCGCATAGTGAAGCTACATTTATGTCCCCAAGCAAAACAAGGGGCCATCTCAGCATTTGCTCAATGGATCAGGGAAATTGGACAAGAACCTGATCAAGATGGGGGTCATTGACCCGGAAGCTGAAGTACATTATTTGTTACAAACATATTAAGTCCTTTAAAAAAATTATACAATACAAATGTGAACTAATTCATTATATATCACTGTTTAGTTAAAATACACATTATTTTTCTTTTTGATAATCAGTATAGTCTAATTGTATAGAAACAGTTATGCAGCAGAAAAGATTTGACTTATCTTAAATTTGTGAACAGACTTCAATTGCTTAATGTCATCTGGCAATGAGTTGTAAAGTAACGTTGTTAACTGACGAGTAAGTTCGTCTTGTGTTTCTTCTGCTGTTTTCACTCATCGTTTACCGTCTTTTCCTCCCTTCACGAAACAAAAATATAATTTGATGCTGAGAAATTTCATTTTCCCGTGGGATTTTTTAGAAATTCACTATTTCTTACTTGAAGATGTAAATCAGTGACTACTGTGAATTAATATATTGGCTACACTGCATCATTCGCGCTATACTTCAGAGAAAGCAAAGAATATACAAATTTGATGTCGCAGGTTTCTGCGGCCAGTCATGATTGGGTTGTCCGGTTGAAGTCGCGTCGCAGGCAAGGTGCGACGATTCGTGCCGACATAGCGTGGCCTTCTTCTGGGCTGTAGTACGAAAACAACAGTCCTATAGAAGACCGCGATATGTCATCAAAACGTCGGCACTTCAGACAGCGACGCGGCGTCGCCCGGGCAGCCCAGAACCAAAAAATATTTTTTTCTGGATGCTTGAAACATGACACGAATTCAATTCATCATTGCCAGTGTTAACTCGACACTTCTCAAGTAAGTTTATGACAATGTTAGACACATTTTTCGGATGGGGTCAGTGCCTAGAATTGCAAAACAATGCGAAGTCACGCTTCCACAAAGATGCTTTAAATTCAAAATGCTGAATGGCATTTCTTAGCTTCGCGGATTCATCTCGGTGTTTCACTTTGTAAACCACACTTATGTAGAACTTTTTAGAGATTACAATGGTATTTTCAAATGTTTAAACAGTCGATTTTGGAAAAAAAATTAAAAAGCCAAAAAATATTTTTTTAAAATTTAATGAATTCAACACATACATCAAACGAAAGAAAATCTTTTGTGTTTTGGTCACAAAATATTAAATTTTTATTACAATTGCAATAGGAGTTAAAATGATTAACTTTAACGATGCGAGCATTTTATCCAAATTTTGAAAACTAATATAATCTCAAAAAACTATCTTGGAAAAAATGAAAAACGTGTTTCAGATTTTTGCGTATACTCTTCATAGAAAAACTTTAAAAATCAGGGGCATCAAGGTAAAATTGTCCTTAAATTTGTGCGATTTGAAGTGGAATATGACCCAGTGACTGAGCAATCAAGCATTTTAGCGAGAACATGCAACACCATACTTCACGTACGTAGTAGCGTATGCTGGCGTAGGGCAGGTCTGCCAACCTGCCATTCAACTTCTGTTGGTAACAAGATTTCATCTGGGGCTCTGGAAGTGTTCTGTCTACAGCATCAACATCCACTGAGGTTCTATCAGGCATCACACGTAACACCATGTCTTCTTCTTACAGCACTACGTGTTTACTTCAATGTGAGTTCTTCACTAATGTATTTTTCATTCAATTGTTCTTGAACTATTAATTACATGATCATTAATCACGGCACATCTTACCAATATTCAACTGCATCATTCATATTAGTAGATTCATTAAAGTATGCTTTATGCAGCATATTAAACTTATCGCTTAACTTTTATTATAATTTAATGATTTAATTCTACGTTAACCACAGTACTTGTATTCATTTCTGAGTCATGGTGACACGCTCCCTATTAATTAGCTTTTCAGCTAACAAGTTCCACAAGTGCAGTGGTCCTTCAGCTAATAAATTAGTGTTATGGAAGAATGACAGAGAAATGGTATGTAGATCACATCTTACAATTAATAGTCCACTGCGCTTATCACGTTCGCCAATATTATGAATTTTAGAAAATATACATATTTAAATACTGTACTTTAGATGTGTTTGACGATGTCTTATTTCATTCATATTTTCTAGAGTTACATGTAGTTATCTATGGAATTTTAGGAATTTGAGGGAAAATAATTTTTTTCCTGAAAACTGGGAGTACAGTATAATGTTTTTTGATACACACAATCAATAAGGTTTATAATACGCTTTAATATGCAGTATTAGATACGTAATAAACAATATTACAAATACTTTTAACTGGACTATAATTTATTTTCACTTTTTGCATTTACATAGGGGGTGGGCGGTTGACGCAGGCGTTACGTAGTTACGATAGGGGGGTTCAACCGCGCGTTACGCGTGCGAGGGGGTATTCAAATTACTCCAAATTGGCGTTATGTAATTTATGGACGCCCCTATATCAAATATATTTAAAAAGTAATTGATTTTCCGTGGAAAAATCGAACATGCATCTCATATTAATTAAATTATATTTAATTTTAGTCATAAATATATGTCCAAGTTTTGAACATAACTTATACTTCTTATTATACACAACAATTTTCCTGGATTATTAAAAAAAAGGGGGGGGCAATTTTTGGGTGCCTACAGGTAACCGCGTTGTTAATCCGCTTCTGGTCGCACGGAAGGATGGATACACAGTTCCACTGTTTCCTACTTCCATCACTCTTCCAGTAACATGGCAAATATAAGACTTCAAATTACTGAGCCTAAATGCGCTATTGGAATGGATCGAAATGCATTTAGTAGGAAATTTAATATGCTTGCATTAATGTCGAATTTACTTTCGTAAATTTACTCTCAGTTTACAAAATTTTGTAAAAGACTAAATGAATGCACAGTGAAATTTTTCTTGAAAGGGTAGGAAATGGAAATGGGAGGTTACGAAATCTCATGCAGACAGTACACTTTCTTGTTTTGAAACACATGTGTACTACTTCTCTTGCTTTTAAATTAGAATAAAACTGTAGTTTTTGTGTTTAAAAAATAAAAAAAAAAAAAACACCTTTGCACAAGACATTAATGAAATTTTTAAGTAGCCGGAATTATACTCTCAAAAATATTCCTGCATTGAAATCAGTTTAGCCATTCCTGACAATACTCAGTATAAAGAGGCAGACAAAAATAGTAAAAAATTAAATGTTTTTGTATTATTTAAATACGCATATTAGATTACAAAGAAAGAAAAACGGGAAAAACAACAACAAAAACGTTATTTTAAAATCATAGAGACGCACAGCAATTTTATTCACATAGACTGTTTGAAAGTTGTCTGGGCGATTATTAATCACAACTATCTATTAAGGGACAAGGAATGAATTATTCTCTATGTATCTCCACTCTACCCTTCCTTCACCTGACCCTCTCCCTCTTCCCCATGCCCTTCCTCACCTCATTCTGTGGCATCTGCTTGGTTCACTCGTTCCAGAGATTACCACAGTTGAAAAGAAAATAGTCCAAGTCAAAGTCAGGATAAATATTACTTTTCTTTATTTTGAATATGATAAAAAGCTCAACCAATAGTACAAACATAACATTTGTCCATATTTTAACTCTCAGCTCTCAATGCGCTCCACATTTTAGCACTATCTACAAACATTTCCGGATCGGCTTTGCTAGAAAAAAAAAAGAACAAAATCATTAACACTTATAAGACTTGAAAAATTATGTAATGTATTGTTCCTAATTTGGATAATGGATAATGAATAAATCAATTAAAAAGAGATTCTGAAATTATAATGATAAATCTCTACAGAACAAAAGGGGGTATGAAATAGATGTTTTTCAATGTTATGTTTTTTTAACTTTAATTTTGTTAATGAAATGTATGTTAACAAGTTCAGATGTGAGAAGGAACACAATACCTCCATGAAAAAAATGTTAAAATTCTTTGAAATCAAATCCAAGTAAAAGACATATCCAAATATCAAATTTTCTATTTACTACTTCTAATATTCTTTGTTGATAATATGAAATTCTATTGTGAAATAACAATAGAGAAGGCAATGAATTATAATCTAAACAAAATGTTTCTTCTCTATGTAATACTTAGTTTAAAGAAAGCAAAATGTAATATTAAGTTTCAATAAATAAAAATCACTCATAATTATTTCAGACAAACTTAACAAACATTAGAATCAGACCAACTTAAGAATATTTCAAAAATTGCTTGCCTCAAAGTAAGAAATTTGACAAGCTCATTGATCTGATGTTTGGCTCCGAGAAACTCATCCTCCTACTTTCAAAATACTTTAAATTACTTTAGATTAGAGTCTAATTTCTCTATTATTATAACACAATATGCGATGAACATCGACATTCAAGTATATCAGTAATATTGCCGAATACATAAAACACACAAATCAAATCTCTCCTGTTTGGTACTGGACTTTATCAGTTTTGCATTGATTGATTAAACTTACATTTCTAAAGTGCAGGTGCTCATTTTAATATTTGGTCAGTCATCAACTCTAATACATACTCGCTATATATTTCTTCATACACTACACAGTAACTTAACAATTGTATATTTGACTCAACCCTGGCAAATTTTCAAACATTCTACAATTTTGAAAAACCAAAGCAAGACACTGCCTCAATTTAATTCCAAACATGCCACTTTAACATTAAAGAATGCAGGATGTCCAGGCAGGAAAGAACTAAACTTAGAAAATAAACTAAAGTTATTTTTAAGCATATTTTGACTAATAAACTCCTTCAATATTTTGAATGGCTGAACCACAAAAAGCACTCAAGGTAAAAATTTGCATTTCAGAAACAATCATTCCAAAAACATGTAAATTGTTTATTATTCACAAAAGAGATGAATATATTTGTTTACAAAGAAAAATGCTCGCATTGTTTCCACGTGCCACATTATAGTACTATACACACTAGCAAATGTGTTTTCAAGCAGTAAATTATTTTACGGCTCCGAGGCGAACACAGAGCTAACGTACAGGCACTCCTTCCACTCCGCCACCGATGCGGCGAATGAACCTACCTCTGACACAGACAAAAAGGAGAAGGCCCGATTCATGGAAAAAATCTTCAACGATCAACCTATCCCTTACTAACTCCAAAGCCTCCAGTCCGTTCAGATCGATTGGGGAATATCAATTTTAAAGAAAATCAGCTGAAAGTTTTAGGCGCTAGCGTTGACCACGGACGGGCGGACAGATTGCGGGTAGACGGATATATATTCGATGCTTCGCTAAGAAGAATCAACAAAACAATGATTCTGGCTACACCACATGTTAGAGGATTGTTTCATCTACATTTAGCAACAGGATTCATCCAATTTTTCGTTACCAGGGCCCGGCTGTAAGACTTTTTCTGGCGAAAATTCGCCGTTTTCCGGCGCACGATTACATAGCTTTCTCTTACGAAGAATTCGTAAGAAGCACTTGTGAACAAATATATTTATTTCTTTGGTAAATAAACAATTTACGTTTCTGGAATGCTTATATGTTTATGAAATGCTAATTTGGCTTTGAGAATATTTTTTTCAAACCAACTTTTGAATGCGATTTGCAGCATTCGAAATATCGATGGAGTTTATCCGAGCAAGTATGCTTAAAATCGAATGAATTAAAAAGTATGAATGTTCATCCTGAAGGCAATGCTGAGGATTCTAAAGAGTGTGGGCTACAATGGAAGAGAATCCTGAAAGGATCCACATATGAAAACTATTGGATTTTGCAAAAACGTATGTGTAGAACGGACGAGTTTTGTAGAAGAAATCACATTAACTAATGAAAGCAAGTTTAACCTTTCCAAGTTTCAGTGAATGGTTCTCGGGTGGCATAAGGTGACTAAAAAGTCCATAAAAAACTGCACAATATGGTAAATAAAGATAAGAGGGCAACATTGTGTTCCACTTTGCTAACTATAAGTTAACTACGTTTACAAGTGGTAATAAGAATTTATGTATCATAAGACATCTTATAAACTTTAACAATATGAGAATGGAGAAACATCAAATAAGGCTATTAGGCCAATGTCTTGTGTATATTGTAATATGATGTTATGGTATGGTATGGATATCATACATGTTTTACCAATTGGCTACAATTCCAACAATCTATAATTTGTGTTTAAATTTGACCACTTGCCCTAAAAAAAGGTGGCGTACTAATGTTGATAGTAGGTATAGGTTATGGATTAGTTCTATCAATACATTATGAAACTGATTATATTATTGTTAACACTTTCGTTCTTAAGGATGTATCTGATAAGTCATCTACATTTTACTGCCATGTCCTTTGAATGTATGTAATATTTTCTTCTACATTTATCGTCCTTAACAAGCTCTAAACGTCTCTTTGACATTTGTCAGCACCAAGAATAAGCCCTTTAATAATAATAATAGTAATAATAATAATAACAATAATAATAATAATATCATCTCAGGACGAACGCCAATGTGTGCTTGTACTTTTAGCAAGCATTTGCATTTTTTCCCCATGAAGTAATTAGACTTGTGGACATTGTTGATTACATTGATGATGATTGAGAAAAACAGTAAAATAAAATTTTCTGTAAATGAAGACTCAACTGAACTAGACTATTTTTCATAATTTTTTGATGGCAATTTACTTCAAAAAATAAAGGCAGAAAAAAATGTAAATGGAACTCTTTCTGAACTTCAACAAAATATAATTATAGTGACCAGTATTGATGAAATATGAAGTACACCGCGTTTCCTCCATATTTTGTAACATTGTTACTATCTGTAAAAATAGTAATGTTGACAACATGTGTTTCTTTGAATTCCATTCTCACTACTATCTTATAATCAAATGATCATAAAATACAAACAGACCTAAAGAGGAAAGACAATACTACTAGATGATATCCATTTCAAACTGATATGATTTTTTCCCTTCGTTTTGAGTAATTGCTATGTTGCCCAGAATACAGGAGTTAAGCAGGTAGTGTATGCCTTAGGATCTAATATGTTAAGAGTGGTCAACAGACTCCTTTGAAACGTAGATCGTAATAATTTTTATTACAACACTGATCCTGGTTTGATTCTATACGAGGGTTGCCTTTTATATTTCAGGATTAGAGAAACAAAAGCAAATATTAATAATCCAAAAATCAGCTTATTGTTTTTCAAATATTCCCTCATGAAGTATCTATAACACTTTTTGCTGCGTTTGAAACCATGTCGAAGCACTTTTGGCCACTCTTGATTTATCTTAACACATGCATTCTGAATGCGCAACGTTCTTCAGGTGTCGAAAAAGTGGCGCTCGCTGCAGTTTGCTGTTTTTACGTGCGGGAATAAAAGTTCATTCGCTGCAGTCAGGAACTATTAGGCGGATGACTCATCAAAATCGAATGTTTTGGGTGCTCAAAAATGCAGTTGTTTGAAGCCGATGGTGTGAGAGCTCGCATTGTCCATGGTGAAGAGTGATCCGTCTCGGCGGTTGGTTTCCTGATTTCTTGAAGAACAGCTGCAAACCAAATCGTTGTGTACACTTCAGAAATGACCTGTTCTGCGTTGTTCTAGTGGTACGGTTTGCGACATGTCCAGTTTTTTATGAAAAAATAGGCGACCATCTGTTTGGAAGTGGCTTCGGTGCGGCGAACAACTTTTCTGTTGGATTTTGCTCATCTTGAAACACCTAATATCAGTCGACTGCTTGTTTAACTTTTGGGCTCATACGCGTAAATCCCACGATTCATCACCTGTCAACGATGTCATAGGCGTGTTTTCGAAAGCACGCATCTATTGTTTGAGCATTTCTTTCGACAATCGACACGAGCCTTTTTTGGGCGATTGACAAATTTTTGTGGGAATCCAACGCGACCAATTTTTTTTGACAGTCAAATGTTCCATGCAATAGTTGACTGTTATGCTCGTCCGCACTATTGCCTAAGGTTGTCTCCAATCTATGATAGGCTCACATGACGATCTTGCAATATCAGTTCACGCACAGCATCAATGGTTGTACGGAACACTAATCTTTGGACCGACCTTCGCGAAATTCGTCTTGGAGTGAACTACGACCGCGATTGAATTCACCATACCATCGATAAACACTGGTTCTTGATGGAGCTTTGTCGCCAAAAATTGAATTAAGTTCATCCATGCACTGTTGCTGGGTTAATCCACGTCGAAAGTTGTAAAAAATAATCGAACGAAAATGTTACGATTTAATTCCATTTTTGGACCAATCTTTTAAGTTACTGTAAACAACACAAATAGCGCTCGTATGTCAAAACGTTCTGAGTACGTATAACCTCAAAACATCCAACCTTACGATAGAGCTGTCAGTTGCCAGATTGCAACACCAGGGTTGCCAAATCCCGAAACATAAAAGGCAACCTTCGTATATCCAAAGAAAAAAGTTATTACATTTTTTATACCCTCTTTATCTAAAAATATAAAACGTTTACAATTCAAGTGAGCCACCATATACAGCTTTGAAATAAATTTCTATCATCCACAACGTTTCCCATTTTTGAGCAAATTGCCAACTAATTAGCCATATTGTCAACATCAGTTCCACATCATCATTTACACCAGGGGTCAAGCATTACATGAAGCCCAAAGTGCCTCTACTGAAAAACAATCATGGATTTTTAGGCATTTTAAGTAACTCACAACAAAATGATTGTTTTTTAAAAAGCAGTCGAATACATAAAAATGTAATTCTAAGTCAGTTTCTCTGCTTCAGTGTTATATGTAAGAATGAAATAGCCTCTACTAGCCTAGCCTCTAATGTTGTACCGGAATCCCAAGATATAGTACTAATAAAATTATTGAAATGAAATAGTTTGAATTTGTTGAATAAAAAGAAAGTTGGAGAAATGTGCTGCAGGTAAAATTTGGGAGGTTTGATAATGTGGGTACAAAAAGGTTTCTGATCCCTGATTTAGACAATATTACACCGTCTTGTTTTGTATTAACTGATAGATTATAAAATTGATTTTAAGCAACTTTTGTATACAACATTAACTGATATAACAAAACAATTACAAAGAACTGGTAAATTAACAACTGCATATCCGTAAATAAATAATGGATTTAAAGTTCAGAGCAGCAAGAATCATCATAATTATTCCACCCAGTTACCTCAGATTTACAAAATCATCACTTACTAGCAATTGAATAACTGCAATTCATAATTTATACACTTTGATGTATAATTTGCCATATATCGGGCTCTTTCACAAGGCTGTAGACTTTTAAATATTTGTTTCAGGATTTTTCTCTTAAGCTAGGGGAAAAAAGAAACATAAATAAGAACCTCATGAGGAAATGGAAATCTGCATTTACTTCAAACACTTCATCCACTCACCTTTGGTATGTTCTCCATCTGCTGGAATTCACGCTGTGGTCGCCTGAATAACCTGGGGACCTGACTACGAAGCTAACAGTAAAAATAAAGACAATCATTAATTGTTCGACTTCTAGTACTGATGAATAACGTAAAAAATCTCCATCCCACATTATAGAAAAACAATATTCACAAAGAAAATTCTGAAGATTTACAATGGATATAGAAGCCAATCCAACCCAGATGGCCAGTCTGTATTCTCCTATACAGATAAATTCTAACCCATAATACACTACCATTTGAAATAATACTATTTTCTCCACACTTGTAATGTTTCTGGCAAAGCAAAGCCTTTTCATGTACGTTTAGAGGGAGAAGGATAGAGAGAGAGGGGGGGAGGGAGAAGGAAAGAGAGAGAGAGAGAGGGGAGGGGAGAGAGGAAGGGAGAAGGGGCGGGGGAGAAGGGGAGGGGGAGAGAGGGAGGGAGAAGGGGATGGAGAGAGAGAGAGAGAGAGGAGAGAGAGAGGCACTATACTAAGAAACACTAAACTAAATGCATAGAACACTTGCAGTAATTTGCAAAGTATATTTAAAGCAAAGGTGATTTAAAGGCGGGAAAATGGTTTATATTTTTACTTTTCCGAATACGTACGAATTTTCGGAGTATTATTCGTTGTATAGGGAGAGATATGCGAGATCGGCGGCGGCAATGATAGAACGGTTAGCGTATCGGACCGTACCCATGTACGCTGGTTCATACCCGATCGAAGCCGTGGATTTTTAGGGCGAAAAAATCCTTCGTACGAGTTCCTTTGGAGGGAAAATGAAGCCAGATGCCCCAGGCTCGTAGATTTACATGTAAAAATACTAAATGACGCCTCTGCGCTAAATTCCAATCGCCAATTTCGTCGCCCGAGATGATATCTTTTTTCTCCGCTAGTTGGTGAAAGGAACACAGAGACATTAGTTTGGTCAGACGGAAGAGTGGGCCAGATATCCCGAGTCTCGCCACGTAAAATAAGGCAACAATTCAATTCAAAGATATGTAATAATGCGGAAAATCGGTTTCGATGTTTAAATGGAAATACACATTTTAAGCTTCCCTAATAGCGAAAAGTAATTTCTGTTTCAAAACGTCCGCCTGTCTGTGCACACCACTAGCGCCTAACCATACGTAGGATTCTTTCCAAATTGAAAAAATCGGTGTCGATCTGGCACGAGTCAAACCTCTGCGATTTCGAAAATCATTAGTGTTGGGGGTACTTTACATGAAACCTCCTGGAAATTTTCAAAATTTTCTTAAAAATAGTTTCCTTAAAAAAAAATTATTCTAAGAATGTAGTAAAATATTCTTATAAAGGTGGCGTAGGTAATATTTTCACAGTTATCATTAAATTTTCAAAAATTGCAAAATTTTGAATTTTTTTGCGATGTCTTCCTTTAACTACAAAGTTAAAGACAGAATTTTCCTTCAAATGAAATGTTATCCACAATTAGTTCTTTTATTAAAGTCATGTACATTTTTTTTGAAAATATTAGTAGTTTTCATGCAATATTGCGAGCAATACGTGTAATTTACAAAAAAACGAAAGTCAAGATTTTTCGAAAACGAATCCTAATTTTGTCTTTAAACTTTTGGTACAAATAGTGCTAAATTTATTCTATAAGATGACATAAACCCATATTGCTCTTATTCTTTTGGTTTTTCAAGAAACACAAAAATGTAATTAGTTTGACTTCTCTCACATCACTAATATTCTTAGGCAATTTCTTCTCATTTCTATAATTATGAGTACATGTACTTTAAATAATTTCATTAAGTTTCTAGAAAACTTTCCAGTTTTTTTTAACTGTCTTAAACATTAGCAGTTTTAGAAACGCTCAAATATTTCGAATGGATAGTGCAAATTTCACTCTTTTTATTATGACGTAAAGTTCATTTCAGTGATTTTCCCCCCAAAAATTACACAAATGTAATTTTTTGAAAGATATCTCAAGCCGTTGATTTGCATTTTCAGGAAATTGTAAACACTATTGGCTTTGTGAGCTAAAGTATTTCAAACTTCGAATTTACAGTATTGTTTAAGCGCCATTTACTTAAAAAGGTTGCAAATTTTTCAAAGACATTTTTAATTTAGGAGGTAGTTTCACTGTTATTTAATATTCATAAAATAACATTTCCGTTCTATTATTAGAAAACAGAAAAATTAAGAAATTTAAAAAAAAATGTATTTAAATGAAGCGGCGATAGAGGGCAGCTGGCAAGAAAATGTGTCAAGTTCGTATATCTAGCCGAGATCAAAGGAAATCGAAAACAAATACGGAAAAGTCTGTGCCATTCTGTAGCACCACTAGTTTTAACTACAGCCTAGCAGTTGGAACATTCTGAAAGAAAAAAAAAAAAACAACGAACGATTTGTGTTTTGAGCGGAACTTGTGAGATCCTTTTCGAACTTGTTTCAGGTTTTTAAGACACAGTAAACAATTTTTTTCAAGAATATTTTTCTGGTACGTATTATAAATTATTTTCTTATTTTTCATATTTTTTCAATCAGATAAAATAATGTTATGTCGACAAAAAACATTTTCTTAGCTGTAGATGGGTATGGGTGGTGGGGCGAAGGCCAAGGCTCAAATCTTTGAGATTAAAAAAATAATAAATTTGGGAATATTTTACATGGCGCCCCCTGGAAATTAACAAAATTTTCTCAAAAATCGCTCTAAATTTTTTCTTCAAGTTTCTTGTAAGAATAGAGTTACACAGATTTATAAAGGTGACATGTCCTGTTTTCACGGAGAACTGAAGTTTCTAAATTTCAAAAGATACAGATTTTTCGTTCAAATAAAATTTGTAAGTTCTTTCATTAGGGTCATGAGCATCGTTTTGAAAATTTGAGTAATTTTCGCGCAATAGTACGTGAAATATGTGCAATTTAAAAAAATACAAAAACGATATTTTTTCAAAAATATCTCAAATTTTTTTCTTTAAACTTTTGGTAGGGATAGTTCTAAATGTACTCTATAGATGACATTAATTCCATATCGTTCTATTCTTTTGCTTTTCAAAAATCACAAAAATGTGTTTTGCAACTTGTCTCTCACGTCATTAATATTTGCATTAGCGGCAATTTGTTCACATTATTGTATTTATGAGTACATGTGTTTTAAACGTCATAAAATTGCTCGAAAACTTAATCGTTTTGAGTGAAAATTTTCATCATTCAACATTTTCTGAGCCGCTCAAATGCCATTTTTCTCAAACACGGTTCCATATTTTTTCTTCATACTTTTCGAACGGATGGTGTTAATTGCTTTGTTGCGTTGTTGTTTAATATAACAATGTTAATTTCGATGTATTTTTTGTTGTTTAAAAAAAACAAAAAACAAATGTATTGATTTTTAAAGATCTCTCACGCCGTTGATATGCACATTTCTAGCAATTTGTACACACTTGTGAGTTAAAGTACTTAAATGACTTCAAATTAAGTTTTTCGATAAACTCAAAAAACTCCGTGAGAAAGAGCCTCAAATTTCAAATTTACAGTAGCTCTTAAACGCCAGTTTTTAAAAACGGCTCCAAATGTTTCAAAGAAGATTGCCATTTAGAAGGACATTTTACTGTTCTTTAAAATCTTAAAGTAAAATTACCGATCTACAATTAAGAAACCGAAAAATTAAGAAAATGTAAAAAAATGAACTTAGGGCGGCTTAGAATTTCTGCCATACAAAAACTATTACACATTTCAATATGTAGCACCTGGAGTTTACGTTCTCGGTATTACTTGCGCAGTATAGAACTAGTAGGGCTATAGAATGGCAGTCTTTCTCGTACTAGTTTTCTATTTCCTTTGATCTCGGCTAGCCATACGAACTTGCCACATCTCTTGCCGGCTGCAATCTATAGCCGCTAAGTACATTGTTTGATTTTTTTATTTTTTTTTTATTTCTGATAATAGAACGGAAATATTTTATGAATACTAAAGAATAGTAAAACCACGTCCTAAATTGCAAATTTCTTTGAACAAATTGCAGCCGTTTTTTAGTAAACTGCGTATGCGCTACTGGAAATTCGAAATTTGAAGCTTTCTTTGTTCACGAAAACGATAACTCACAAATACAACAGCGTTTACAAATTGCTGGAAATTTGCATATTAACGGCATGAGAAATGTTTAAAAAAATGACATTTGTGTAATTTCGGACCAAAAAACAACCCCGAAATGAACTTTACGTCATACTAAAGAGTGCAATTAGCACTCCATGTTATAAAAGTTTGAAGAAAAAATTGAACTGTTTTTGAGAAAATGGCGTTTGAGCGTTTCTGAAAATGCGGAATTTTGAGCAATTTTTTACGGAAAACGGTAGAGATTTTGACAAACTTTATCTGACATTATTTACAACAGATATACTTATAAATACAATAATGTGAACAAATCGCCGCTAATGTGCGGCTAATTAACAACGTGAGAGACTAGTAAAAAAAATTAAAATTTTGTAATTTTTGAAAAACCAAAGGATATAGCAATATGGCGTTTATGTCATCTAATAGAGTGCATTTAGCACTAACCCTACCAAAAGTTTAAAGAAAAAACGTAGAGACATTTTTGAGAAAACCTAGATTTTTGTATTTTTTTAAACTTGCACATATTGCTCGCAATATTGCGCGAAAACTACTAAAAGTTTCAAAAAATGTAAATGACCTTAATGAAAGAATTTGCTACGGAGAACAAATTTTATTTGAAGGAAAAATCACAATCTTCTATTTTGGCGCCAGAAAGGAAGGTGTCATTTAGGAAAGCGCCAAAAAAATTTTGAATTTTTTTAAAATTCAGAGTTAAAAATGAAAACCGGACCTTTGATACTTTTATAAGTACATATAACTCTATTGTTACAAGAAATTTAAGAAAACAATTGGAGCCGTTTTTGAGACAAATTAAAAATGTCCGGGTTTTTGTGTACCCTCACATTTTAAAGACTTTTTTCAAAATCTCGAAGCTTCGACAATCTCTCGTATAGTTTAGGCGCTAGTGGTGTTCACAGACATCCGGACAAACGAACGGTTTGGAGAGGAAAAAACTTTTTCGGTATCAGGTGTATTTCCGTTGAACGTATTTCCAAAACGTTTATTTCCGTTAATCCCTCGAAATTGATTTTCCGCAGCATTACATAACTTTTCCAATATTCCGTACACACGGAATATTGGGAAAAGTTATTTCGTACGTAAACGGGAAAGTAATAAAGAGCTTTGTAATGTTGCGTGAGAAAACTACGGATTTTCGACAAACACTTTTTGCTGGGCCTTGGTAATGAAAAAGGGATAATATACCATACATATAGTAAATTATTTCCTCAAACACCATGTGCAGTGTGACGTTTCCTGCTATTCCATCTCAATTTAATGTATTTTTACTCGTATTTAATTAATTTGATAGGCAAGCTCGGTTTTGGTTGTATAATTGGGGCGCTAAAACACAATCCCAGGGTTGCGTCTGTCTTTCTCACGAGCTGAAAATATACCACTCATACGAGAATTCGACTGGTGAATACCACTATTTATGCTAGGAGTGTACCAATTTGCTTGTTCCTACTTTGAAATATGAATGATGAAATATGAAATACTATGAACTTCTTTAGTGAATTAATATTCCAGCGAGAAGAAGTGTCCGCTGCTATTTATTTATTTAATTTTAAATTACTTTCTTTTCTGATAAATTTATTAACAAAAGTTATTCTTATTTAAATTTTCCTACCTAATGGACATCTAAACTTTATAATAATTATTTTTAGAAATATCCCTCTTTCAATTTATTTTACTATAACATTCTTGGCCCATCACATTTACAAATTGCAAAGTCTTTGTATTCTTAATTACTACACTTTTCTGGTGATTAAATACTGCTCTCTTGGCGATGAGTAGAATATTGCGTCCGAGTTGTCCTACCATCTTTTTTTGAAGTTTCGTAATTATCTGCAACATTTTTCAACCGTCCGAGAACTAGTTGATTTGCTTTGCTATTACTATTAGTTATATAGGGCCTACATTCACGTTCCGTTCTGACTTGACTTTCTCTAACATTACTAATATCATTTTCCAAAACAATAGTGATTTACATTTCACCTATTCCGTTTTAACTTTAAACTTTCTCCCACAATTTTTGCTGGTCACAGCCGAACGTCCTACTCATACCAAATCGAGACCATCTGTTGAAACATTTTCTTTTACACATTGATCTTTTTTTTAAGCCCCTGTAACTATGCTCAGTTCTCTTGGCTACCATATCTGTTGACACATGGGCCGCCAAATTAATTCACACTTTGAACAGCTCAGTTTCGCTACTCTTTGAAGGCATCAGGAATTCTTTCCCAATTGACCAAATACGCATTTTTGTTGTATTTAGAACACCGCTTTCAACAGAACGAGATTCTCAAAAGAGATTATGTAGCATTTATGAGAGAATATGTCGCCCTTTGACACGCCAAAAATGCAACGAATGAAGGGGTATAATAAGCAATTACATTCCGGATTTTCGGGTACAAAATCCTAATTCGATCCCCACAAAATTAAGAATTGGGTTTCACAAGTCGGTGAAAATTACTTCTGGGCACAAAGACCGTCACTCGTGACCTTGCATCTTCTGCATTTTTAGTAACACGATGTTTGAAACAAAATGTTATTAATACTGAAACTGCTTTTCCAGAAGCAGCCCTAGGCATCAACAATTCATTTATGTAGATGAGTTACTGCATGGAGCAGAATCTGAACCTGCGGGAATTATTTAAACAAATATCAGATCTGCTTTTAGAAGTTTATTTTAAATTGAGAAAGATTAGAAGCAATTCTTATCTTAATATTATTATAACTACTTTACTAGGAGAATCCCCTGGAGAGAACCTTGTCGCATTAGGTCAATCGGCCAAAATATTAGGACTTTTTGGTATTCAGGAAATGACGTGGTAGTGGTGGTAGTGGTATGGTGCAGTGGGAGTGTGCGTTGGCCAGTAGTGGTAGTGGTAGCGGTGCGTAGTGGAGGGTGGCGGTAGTGGTAGCGGTGCGGTAGTGGTAGCGTGCGTGTGGTAGCGGTGCCGTAGTGTAGCGGTAGTGGTAGCGTGCGGTAGTGGTGAGCGTGGCGGTAGTGGTAGCGGTGCGGTAGTGTAGCCGGTGTGGCGGTGGCGGGTAGTGGTAAGGGTGGCGGTAGTGTAGCGGTGGCGTATGGTACGGTGGCGGTAGTGGTAGCGGTGGCGGTAATGGTTAGCGTGGGGTAGCTGTATGGAGCGGTGGCGATAGTGTAGCGTTGGGGTAGTGGTAGCGTGCGTTGCGCAGTAGTACTGGCGTAGTCGGTGGCGTAGTGTAGCCGGTGGCGGTAGTGGTAGTCGCGGTAGGGACGGTGCGTAGTGGTAAGCGTGGCGGTAGTGGTAGCGGTTGGCGTAGTGTAGGCGGTGGCGTAGTGGTAGCGGTGGCGGTAGTGTAGCGGTGGCGTAGTGTAGCCGGGGCGGTAGTGTAGCGGTGGCGTGTTAGTGGTGCGTGGCCGTGTGTACGGTGCGTGCGTGTGCGTGTGGCGTGGGGTAAGTTAGCGGCTGTATCGGTACCGGTGGCGTAGTGTAGCGGTGGCGTGGTATCGGTGGGCATGGAAGGTACGTGGTAGCGGGTAGTGGTAGCGGTGGCGGTAGTGTACGGTGGCGGTAGTGTAGGTGTGGCGGTAGTAGCGGTGGCGTAGTGTAGGTGCGGTAGTGTACGTGGCTGGTATGCGTTGAGTGGCGTAGTGGTATGCGTGTGTAGCGGTGGCGTAATGTACGGTGCGGTAGTGGTAGCGGTGGCGGTAGTGGTAGCGGTAGTGGTGCGGTGGCAAGTAGATGTAGGCGCAGTTGTAGGTACGTGCTAGTGGTAAGCGGTGGCGGTAGGTAGCGGTGCTTGAGGTGGTAAGCGGTGCGTTTGGCATTGGTAGCGGTGGCGGTTGTAGCATGGCGTAGGTAAGGTAGCGGTGGGGTAGTGGTAGCGGTGCGGTAGTGGTACGGTGCGTAGTTGGTGGCAGTAGTGGTAGCGTGGCGTGAGTGTACTGCGGTGAGCGTGTATAGCGTATAGTGGTAGGCGGTGGCGTATGTCGGGTGCGGGTAGTGGTAAGCGTGCGGTAGTGTAGCGGTGGCTATGTTAAGCCGTGCGAGTAGGTGGGTATGTGGGCGTGGATGGCGTGCATAGCTGGTAGCGGTGCAAAGCGGTAGTGGTATGGCGGTAGTGGTAGCGGCCTATGTAAGTGGTAGGTGTGGGCAGGTACGGTGGCTGAAGTGTAGCGTTGCGCGTAGTGGTGCGGATGGGGTAGTGGTGCGTGGTAGCGTGTGGGGTATGTAGGTGAAGCGTAGTGGTACAGGTGGCGTAGTGCGTAGGCGGCTGTGAGTAGTGGTAGCTGCGGTAGTGGCTATGGTAGCCAGGTGCGCGTAGTGTGCGGTAGTGGTGCGTGGTGGCATATGGTAGTTGTGGGCCAGTGTAGTGGATGGAGTTGTATGTTCGGTGCGGTAGGTGCAGTCTAACGGTGGCGGTGGTACACCAGAAAGCTAAAATCATACTTCGTGTCATAACATCCTAGCCATTCCTCAAAGCGTCGAGTCATGTTTGAAGAGACTATTGTTTGTTAAGACTCAGAAGACATACAAAAAACGTTAAAGTGTGAAAAATGTAAATTGTCGACAAACCTTTGGAGGGATTGGCTTTGGTTGCTTCCTCACTAAAAACCTTTTGATATAATCGAGGATATTTTGAAACGTGGGAGGTTCCAATTTTTTTACTAATTCATCCCAAACACTTTTGAATTGAGCTGGTTGCCAACCTTTCACATTTGGCAGCATCTGAAAAAAGAGTTATTTTAATTAACACACGAGAAACACTCTTGGCATCCTTTTTTTGTTATTCCATATTGCATTGGATATACTCAATGTAAATCAGGTCCCCGACAGCAGAAGCCGTAGAAATAGGCACGACTGTTGGTCCTCTCTGTCGGAAAGGTATATCCGAATTTCCAGTGCATTAAATAATTGATTTGTACGGTTATTATAAAATATTGTGCACACTCACATACATTATAGTTGGACATGTAATTCAGTATTGTAATACTCGTATATTCCCCAGTGTTACATAACCTTTTAATAATTAGGTTAAATTTTTACCCCTACTAAGTAAATGGTAAAGAGAAAGTACTGTAATCGTGTGGCAGAAATCGGCGTATTTCCGACAGAAACTCTAATTACCGAGACATGGCCACAAAAAAGGAGATAAATTATAGTAAATTACTTCCCCGAACACACGATAGATTCATTATTTTACTTAAATCGGTTCATACAGATCTACAGAAACTCAACAATTGATTTGCTATAACATACGATTTACAAATTGCAAATGAAAGATGAAACTAGTGCAAAAAAAATGAAAGATGAAACTAGTGCAAAAAAAATGCACAGACTTTCCCGTATTTGATTTACTCAGTCAAAAAAACAGTAAAAACTGTATGTGACGTAGGGGGGGGGATTATCTGCGCACGTTTTCTTGAGTTCCAAAATACCTTCCCGTCATTTTAACTATAAATAGTTGAAATATGAGTAAAAGTTTAACATAAATAAATAAAAATATATTTTAAAAACACCAACATTAGCAATATTTGAAAAATAGTCATAGTATTAGTTTTCTATTTCCTTTGGAATCGGCTAGTTATTAGTAGTTGCCACATAATCTTGCTGCTGCCATCTATCGTCAGCCAAAGTACATTTTTTTAAAAAAGTATTCTTAATTTTTCGGTTTTCTAATACTAGAACGAAAATATTACTTTAGGAATATTAAAGAACAGAAAAACCTTGGCCCAAATGGAAATTTCGTTTCAAAAATATGGAGCCGTTTTAAAGAAAAAGGCGCTACTATAAATTTGAAACACAATGCTCTTCTTCACAGAAACTTTGTGCGTTTTCAAAAACTTCATCAGAAGTAATTCGAACAATTAACTCGCAAATACAAAATGTGTTTACAAATTGCTGGAAATCTGCATATCAACGGCGTGAGAGATCTTTCAAAAACTTTACATTTGTATAATTTATTAATATTTATTTGTAGATTGACACTGTGTCATAAAATCTAGTGGCTGATTACGTAACTAATATCGAGCCGAATTTCTTCAATCCTTCGTTCAAGAAAAGTTAATACGACTAATACCAATGATTTAAAAATGTATTCAAAAAGCACTAAATAGTAATCAGTACCAACCTTATGGGAAACCTTATGGGAAACCTTCCGGCAACTGTCCCCGCAATACCTCTGGCACATCTTGGGAATTCTATTAAGATCATCTTCCAGAGAAATCAACATTTCGTGTATTGAATTAGCACTCCATTCCGGGAAATCGGCAAACACTGAAAGCAAAATAGACAGTTAAATTAAATATTGTGACTATACCATACAAGTAACAACCTAACGTACCTAAATCCATGTATTGCATCAGCATGGAAACTTTTCGGTACAGATCAATCTTATTTATCATTATTATTTCAGTTTATTTTTCTGGAAACACTGCATTCAAGTTCCAATGCGATAGAACAGAGTAAATACCAGTTTTGTTTTGCATAAGTTGGCACCAAGGTTATTTGTACATGTGCATGCCACCCTGCACCAGCAGCCATAATCTGGGTAATTGCCCCATACGTGATGATGCTTAAGGTTGCCGGATCATAATTTACACCACAAAAAAAAACAAATGTACCATAATACCATAAGTATCTCATATGTTTTAAGGAACCATAAAACTTGAAATAATACAAAGCAAACGCTCCCTAGGCAGAGAAAATAAAGATGAGTACACATGCTGCGTTATATCAAAGCACTCTTAAGACCCCGCAATAACGGATTGGTTCGAACACAGGGATATATTGTCATTAGCCAGAAAACGTCGATGGAAATGTATTCAAATAGGACGCTTTGAGAAAAGGAATATACGTTTTAGGACGATCGATAAACAAGTTATAATATTACATGCTTGATGACAACACTATTCACTCGGGGATTGCGGCCCCGAGGACATTACATGCAGAAGGTGTGACGGTGGCATTGGAAATCATGATTCTATGAGAATATTGAAGTAAATATTATATTGCTAGCCGCCGAATAGAACGCAGGCAGTAAACGGAAAGGTACTAATATTATTTCAGCTGAGACTGGGGTAATAGATCAATAATAGAGCAGCGGGTGACTTATAATTAACTTTGCCAGCTTTGTATTACATGAAGAAGTCAAAGATATCATTTCAAATTGAGTTGTAATTTGTAATTTAAATTAATATTGACTCCGTGTACACAAGGGATTTATATTAGGATAGATCTGTTGATGAGGACGATTTTTAGCAAGTTGGGTTGAAGATGGACAGTGGCGCAATATGTTTCATCCGAAGCATAGCCATGGCAAATCGCGCTCGCGAATTGCAATTACTGATTTCTATGAAAGTACGAAATAGTTTAGAATACTCCGGGAACATTTGTAAACCTATTCTGACGTTAGCCGCCATCACGAAGACGTCTGAGAAATCGTAGCGTACGAAGATCACAGTAAGCCCATGAACTTTAAATCAGAACAGTACGGAACTATAATTATTGTGCATAGGGAGCTTCAAACATATCAATAATGATCAACATAATTTGTAACAGTATCATAACAAATGTTAAATTGCTTTTATTGAAAAACAGAAGGCTGATAATTTGTAACTGCCATCAATTCAATAAGTGGTTTCAATCTACAAAACTTCGAGGAATCTTAAAGTCTGTACAGAATTGCACGTCCACTTACGACAGGTAAAAAAGGTAATAGATCGCATGTCGAGACCCACGAGCAAGATGGATCGTGATCATAGCAGTTGAGTACTGAGAAAATTTATGAGCACAGCAGGGCAAAATAAAATGAAACAAAACATTGATAAATGCAATATTAGTCTGGCAATGAAATTAAGTAAGCAAATAATTGGGAGCAAACATTTTCACAATATTCACATTTTTCACAAATGAAGAAATTAATTAAAAATATTAAAAGTTTAAAACTAGGAAGAAAGGTCATACATCGCCGCCTAAAGCGGAGCTCGAAATGGTGCGTTTCTGGAAATTTATTTTTAAATTTATGAGATATTATTATTATTATTATTATTATTATTATTATTATTATTATTATTATAGCCCGTTACAATCCCGTAGTGCGCAAGGGCCTCCGATAATCGGGCTACATAATGGTAGAATTGCTGAGCATCCTACTTAGCTAACACTATATCTGACTACTTTCTGCACTGGCAATAATTAAGTTGGTGCGAAATCTAGTGTTGAATGTTCATTATGTTAGAATTAGACGTGGTCTTCCACTTCTGACGATAGTTTGCCGAGGTGGACCATTAGCTGCCAAACATCATCTTCAGTTCGTCCAACCGCCTCTTCTTCTGCCTGCCGACGTTTCTCTTGTCTTCGATCCAAGAGGTAATTTGGTGAGTCCAGCAGGTATGGGAAGTCGCATGATGTAACCTGCCCAACGCCATTTCAGGTGTCGAGCAGTGGTTTCAAAGTCATTGAATTCATTTGTGTTCCAATTTTTATGTCATTTCGTATTCTACTTGTCAGGGTAATGTATAAACTTTTTCTTTCCATTTTGCGGAGGTAGACATTAATGACATTTGTTTCTTTTTGTGTGAGTGCCCACGTTTGTGAACCGCATGTGAGCGCCGAAAGTACGCAAGTATTTATAATTTCTCGCAAGCAGTAGGATTTCTTCAAAAGAATAAATTTGAATCCACAAAATATTGACATTGCTGCGGAAATTCTACTGGTTAATTGTTTTGATATTATTGAAAGACATTAATTGTATACATATTCTTCCACACACATTTTATTCTGTAACAACATAATTTTTTTTTGTGCTATTTGTCGTGACCTTTGATTTAGTGAGATTTATTTGTAGACCTCCTTCCTTGCTAAGAATCAGAAGTTGAGAGAGCATTGCTTGCAGTTCTCTGGATGAATTGGCAATTGAAACAATGCCATCCGCGAACATAAGTTTAGATGTTTTACCGTCAACGTTAAATCCAAAATTATCCGACGTTTTTCACAGTACGTCTTGTAAACTTACTTTCTCTAGTAATAGGATGAATTTGTCATCTAATCTCCTATTGCTTTCAATACTTTTAAGATACTCACTTGTTCTACAGAATCAAAGGCTTTTGCAAATTCTATGAAGGCGACAAACACTGGAAAGTTAAATTCTTGTGTTTTCAGTAGCTAGCGCGGAAATCTGATTGTTCCTCCGGTTGATTTTCTTCAATTCTTCGAAATTATTTTCGAGAATATTTTGAAAATATTTGACATGATGCTAATTGGTCGGTAGTTGTCAATATTTTCTTTTGAACCTTTCTTATGAAATAGTTTATTATAGTTCTCAATTTCCATTCTTCAGGTAATTTTTGCAGCACTTCGTTGTAAACTTCCCAGGAAGTCTTCGATTAGCGCATTTTGTCTTGCGGCATGTGTAAAGATTTTCGCAGAATTGTGTGGCTGTTTCTACGGTTTTATGTCTTGGTGTGGCACCAGTGCCATCAGCCGTTATTAGTTGTGGGATCCATTTTTTCGTAAGCAATTATCAGCCAACAAATTTAAGAAATTGCCAGCCACGTGAAGATGATAAATAATTTATTAGTTCTGACATAGAAATTACGCTATTTAAAGGTGTAGTGAAAATTATTTTAAATCACGATGGAGACACGCTGTACGAAAATTGGTCCGATAACGACGAGGAGACGATTTCTGCATCTGGCAGAGAATTGCAAGGGAATACTGGTAATGATGTCACTGAGGCCAAATCGAATGTAGTTACAAAAATGAAAGAACCCGCACGAGAATTATTGAGAACGGTACGACCTGAACAGGAAGTGCAGAAATCATCGGTGAGATAGGACGCGAATATTTTAATATATATTTGCTATTGGACAAATGATGACGGATGGAAAATTCTGAGTCATGAATAGATTTGAATGGTTAGAAAATGCTAGTGCACAAATTAACAATTTGGATAGTAAATTTCCGCAATATGAAGATAATCCATCTCGCGAATTGCAAATCACGAAGCATGAATTGCAGAAAAAGGTACATAAAATTCGCGGAGAAATAACGCAAATGCGTGCCGATATGGAAATAAGATTAATAAATTATCGACACGAATAGAAATCATTAAACCATCAGGCAAAGAACGGAAACCACCCCAAAAAGGGCTCAAGAATGTTAAATAAAATTAATTCGGAAATTTTAGACGTACAGAAAGGGGGTCTTCAACAAGGGAACAGTTGAATAACGTGGTCACAGAAGTAGTCGGCAGAACGCTAGATTGAATGATATAGAAGTTAAATTCGATAATGCTAAGGTATTGATTGAAAGAAACGTCTAGGAGGAAATTCAATAAAAGAATACGCCGATTTCAGTGAATTTGGAGTTGAGACGGGGGAATTGAAGAGGAAAATTTTCGATTTAGCGAAAGAGATCACATTGGCACGCGCCAGTAGAAATAAAATATGTCAACCTCAGTAGTAATTTTAGCAGGAAGTTTAAGATTTTTTGGCGCCAGAAAGGAGCAATCGTATTCCTTTTTGTCTTCGTTTGAAAGTTACTTTTTCATTAAAGTATGAAAGATTAAAATTATATTACACTGAACACGCAATGTCAACGAAGATATTGCATTAGTTTACTTTCTTAATACCAAATCCTGTGAATTTCATCGAGTGAAAGATACGATTTTTAAAGAGATATTACAATGAGGACCACAAGTTCGAACTGAAACATAAATAGGTGGAGGAAAGATTCCGGAAAGGCGGAGAGGAAAATATGTGCGAGATGCGACGCGAAAAATCGCTGCGTTTAAGTCATGCGCTGATAAGTTAGATATGCAGGAAATAACGTGCTTTATCAGTCGGCAACTCCCAGCTAATACATAGAATGTGTGTGCGGAATTACATGCTGGAGACGTCTGAGGATTTGGTGGAACGGGCAAGCCGATGCGACCAAACATTTAGAATTGAGAGTAACAAAATCAGTTCCAACGGGACCCACATTGGAAAGCAGAAACAGAATCAAGGCAAGCGAATAGGCGAAGGGGAAGGTAGGAAAACAGAGTACTTAGACGCACGAAACGACAGAAACGAGAACAGTCAACGGGAAACGACCGTTAAAGACCAAGGGAATTCCGCACGGACCTTTAAAGAAGGCAAACGGCAGGAGCACGTTGAAATCACCGCCGTTATGCAGGAAAGCTAAATGAGTTCGAGATATGTGGGAGTGATATTTCGGGGGACGATTAATTAAGGGCAGACGGAATGTCACGGCGAAGAATATGTTTAGTTTTG